TAAAAGCAGGTTATAATATTCATCACACCCAACATCAAACCTAGCTGCAGAGCCTCGCGGATAAGACAACCCAACCATCGGAGAACCGACCGCTGCCGCACCAGAGCACTTTCCGGCCGCAAACGAGGTAAAATTTCTCCCATTGGCTCGGATTTCGATGCTGAACCCCCTGTGGCTAAATCGGAGCCAAACCATCGGTCAATTTGCTGGAAAATGCTGCCGAAGCCCAGCGGCGCCGCCACAGGTTTTTTCGATTTTTGCCTCCGATGAGGTCCTTCCCAATTCCCATTCGATGTAATTTTTACACCACTGTGGCCACCGTCCTTTCCTCTACAGGTTGATCGGAGCAAAACGCCAAATCGCAACTCGTGCCGAAGGAGCCACCGCACCCGAGACCTCCGCCGCCGGTAAGTCTCGATTTTCTGTATTTTTTTGGCCCACCGAGGGCCTTACGTGTGTTTTCTTGCAGGAACTGGTGCTAGTTTGGCTGAATTCGGTCGAAAATAGCCGAAAACAGCCAACCCGAGGCGGATCGCCGTCGTGGGCAGTGGCGCTGTTGCCGGAGCACGACGGAGCTGTCGTGCTGGAATTTCAAAATTGGCTGAGGAAGCCCTGGGTTTGATTTGGAGGTTTTTGGGAACATGTGCAGGTACCAGAATTGTGTTTCAGTTCCTGAAAAAAAATTCAGGGAATTTAGGGACTGCCCATAGGCACAATAAAAAATCGATTTTAGACTTCGAATCAAGTAAGGATCTCTCACTCTATTTCTTATCACGGTATTAAAGTCTAATAAATGATAAAATGGTATTTTATGAATTCATGGATATGTATAATTAATTAAGGTTGCTAATGGAGCCCGAATCTGATATGTTTTTCAGTCAGTTCTTGTTTGATTTATTTTACAGTCTAAATGCAGTGTAGTATATGATTTATTTATTCTGTGGCTTCGTATGCATGATTCACTGTTTAATTTATTATGGTTTGATTATTGTGAACCCGATGTTATATTTACTTTGTTTGGTATTTGTTACTGGTTTACGTATTTATTTTTGATTGGGTAAATGAGACTAAGAACAAATAGAAATGGGATTGAGTTGATAAATGGATAGGTTAACAGCCTCACTAGACATCCTGGGAGATGGTGGATGGACCAGGTCCATAGGGAACCCTACCGGGAACGTTGTCTCTTATACCGGATGAGGTATTGAGACTTTAAATATTTTGGCGCTCATACCGAACAGGGTATGGGGAGGCCCGCTTCACCCTCATACCGGACGGGGTATTGAGGTTTATGATTTTGGCCACTATACAGGACGGGGTATGGGGATGGCCCTGGAGTTAAGTTATTAAGGTGAATGGTTCACGTGTAGCGAGGACCCCTGTGGATCCCCATGGACACTGGTAGACTGGTAAAAGAGGAAATTTGTTGCTTGATGATTAAAATATTAAAAGTATGACATGTGTTATGTTACATAGTGCGTATGATTTCATGATATTATAATGTTATTATTTTCATAAGTTGTTTTCATGAATCTCACCGAAATAAGTGGACAGTAAAAGGTTTTATTATTGATAAATGGATTTTTTATAAATTATGCTCCATTAGTCGTTTTTGTTTTCTACCAACCTTTATTCTGTGACAGTGAGATAGTGTGACATCTTTACTAGGCTAGTGTAGCTCATTCCTTACTTAACCATTTCAGATCAGGAGGACTTGATTTCCGAGCCCGTTCTGCAGGAAGACGGTGAGTAGATGCCTAAGGATTTCATAATTTTCCTTATAGTATTCATTTCTAGTATTTACTTTAGTTAGCTTATTCTTTCATGCGTTTAATACGTTTTGGTTATTGTGTAAGGAATGTTAATCATAATATTTTATTTCGCTTCCGCACTTATAATTTTATATATGCATTTTCTTTTAATTTCCTGGGTCGTTACAGTGTATTACAAATTGTAAACTCTAAAATGAATTGTCACGT